TCTTTACTTGTCAGGATATAGTACAAGGACCTACCTCACTGGCCGATAAGGGCAAATGCTCAAACATTGCCTGGCACAGACAAACACAGTGTGCGGTGGCGGCCACCACCATCGTCATCGTCATCGTTTACATTCACCATCTGATGTTCCACAAACCTCTCCAGGAAGAAAAGGCCTGGATTCCTTATAGGGACTGTTCCTGGCCTTTCTTCCCTTGGCAGTGCAGATAACTAAGGCTCTGGAAGTTGCAGTCTCTGAAAGAACAGCTCCTCTAATCCAGACTAAACAAAAATTGCACTGACCTTTGACCAGAAAAGAACTTCAAAGAGAAATGCTCCAGATAAGAGAGGGCAGTTGGTTTTGAGGCCCCAAGTTTTACTTTCCCCTGGGTCCTCTCGTTTCTGTTCATGCCACCCACTTCACCTGCCCCTCGGAGGTAAGCGTATTCCTCTTGAAAACCCTGGCCTGAGGAAGGCAAATCACAAACTCCACTCCCTAACTCCTTAGCGTCACTGGGCCAGAGTTAAATGCTTGAACACACCTCATGAAAAAGAGGCAGGAACTGCAGGGAAATAGAGAAAACACGTGGGGCGTGATAACTGTCCAGTTCCCATCATAACTGCAAAAAAGGCCCATGAGGGGTACAAAGGGTGGGAGAAGACCAGACGCTATGGTCCACCCCAGGGCAGTTCTGACTGGCACCCACGCTGGCTCAGAGGCTGGTGTGGATGGCTGTGTGGGCCCAGGTTCTCCTGCGGGAAGAGATGGCTCCAGGGTCCTCTCCTAGAGCCGACATTTTGCAGAGGAAGACCAGATCTGAAGTTTTGCCTCCATGCTACATCATGAGTTCTTTTTTTTTTTCTTTTTTTCTGGTGTGTGGGCCTCTCACTGTTGCGGCCCCTCCCATCGCGGAGCACAGGCTCCGGACGCGCAGGCTCAGCGGCCATGGCTCATGGGCCCAGCCGCTCCGCGGCATGTGAGATCTTCCCGGACCAGGGCACGAACCCGCGTCCCCTGCATCGGCAGGCGGACTCTCAACCACTGCGCCACCAGGGAAGCCCCATGAGTTCTTTTTATTCATTTAGTCATTTGAAAGTACTCACTGAGAGCCTCTCCTGGGCCAGGCATCACTCTAAGAATACAGCTGTAAACAAAACAGAGGGAAATGCCTGTTACGTGGGGATGTCATTCTGGAAGGGGGCAATGTATTAGTTTTCTAGGGCTGTGGCAACAAATTATACAAATTTGGGTGGCATGAGACAACAGATATTTATTCTCTCATGTTTGGGAGGCCAGAAGTCCAAAATCAAGGTATCAGCAGGGCTATGCTCCCTCTGGAGGCTCTAGGCAAGACTCCTTCCTTACCACGTCCAGCTTCTGGTGGCCCAGGCACTCCTTGGCTTGTCGTAGGATCACTCAATCTTTTTTTTTTAAAATAAATTTATTTATTTTATTTATTTTTGGCTGCATTGGGTCTTCGTTGCTGCGCTCAGGCTTTCTCTAGTCATGGCGAGCGGGGGCTACTCTTCGTTGCAGTGCACGGGCTTCTCATTGCGGTGGCTTCTCTTGTTGTGGAGCACGGGATCTAGGCACACGGGCTCAGTAGTTGTGGCACACGGGCTTAGTTGCTCTGCAGCATGTGGGATCTTCCCAGTCCAGGGCTCGAACCCGTGTCCCTTGCATTGGCAGGCGGATTCTTAACCACAGCACCACCAGGGAATTCCCGGATCACTCAATCTTTGCCTCTGTCTTCACATCACTTTCTTTCCTGAGTGTATCTCTGTGTTGTCACATGGTTTTCTCTCTCTCTGTGTTTGTGTCCAGATTCCTCTATTGTTATAAAGGCATCAGATTATCACCCCTCCCCACCCCTGCCTCCATCCAGCATGACCTCATTTTAACTGATTATATCCACAAAGACACTATATCCAAACAAGGGCATATTCATAGGTCCTGGGGGTTAGGACTTGAACATATCTTTTGGGGAGACACAATTCTACTCACACTAGGCATTAAACAAAATAAATAAGGAAACCATATGGCACGGTAGATAGTGACACGTGCTAAGGTATAAAATGAAGCAGGGAAGGAATCGAAGTGTCTGGGGCCTTGCAGTTTTACACAAGGAGGCCAGGGAAGGCCTCCCTGAGATGGTGACATTTGAGTCGAAACTTAAAAAGGTAAGAAAGTGAGGCATGTAGAAGTCTGGGAGGAGGAGTGAACCAGGCAGAGACACAGTTCATGCAAAGGGCCTGAGGTGGGAGTGTGCCTGTCAGTTTGAGGAACTTCAAGGAGGCCATGTGGCTGGAAGAGAGTGAAGGGGGAGGAGTGGTAGGAAATGAGGTAGGTCGGGGGGAGGGAGGGGGATCCCGCTCATGTAGGGCTTTGTAGGATGCAGCGAGTTCGGAATTACAGTCTTCTGTCACGGGGTAGCCCCTCAGCCACAAGATTCTGGTGATTTCCTCCCCATCAGACATCTATGCCATCGGCGTGGGCAACCTGGATGTGGACTGGAGAGAGCTGAATGAGCTGGGGTCCAAGAAGGATGGCGAGAGGCATGCCTTCATTCTGAAGGACGTGAAGGCTCTGAGCCAGGTCTTTGAGCACATGCTGGGTGAGTGTGCTTTGCCCTCTCCACAGCGGTGTGGCCAGTGTGGAGCTGGCCAAGGGTCCACGCTGGCACCTGCTCGCGGTGCCCTGCACCAGCCTCCTTCACCATCTGCTCCTCACGCCCACAGATGTCTCCCAGCTCACGGACACCATCTGTGGGGTAGGGAACATGTCTGCCAATGCCTCTGCTCAGGAAAGGACACCCTGGCATGTCACTATTAAGGTACCAGGAAGGAGGGATGGGGCTTGGATCCCAGAGGTGACAGCGGCCATGAGCCAGAGACACAGCAGTCCCTGAAAATCACCTGTTCCCCTGCAGCCCAAGAGCCAGGAGACCTGCCGAGGGGCCCTCATCTCGGACCAGTGGGTCCTGACAGCTGCTCACTGCCTCCACAACGCCGAGGCCCACCCCCTGTGGAGGGTCAGCGTGGGTAAGGAAGGGCCTGCACCCGCTTCCCGACCCCGTGGGCAGAGCTCCCACCCCTTGCCCCTAGCCTCTGGCCCCTTCAGCAGCCCTGGTCCAGCCTAATCTGCCACATTGTTTCCAGGGGATCCCAACTTCCAGTGGGGCAAAGAATTCCAAGTTGAGAAGGCGGTGATCTCCTCGGGGTTCAATGTCTTTGCCAAGAAGAATCAGGGAATCCCGGAGTTCTATGGCGATGACATCGCTCTGCTAAAGCTGGCCCAGAAAGTGAAGATGTCTACCCATGCCAGGTGCCGGAGTCTGGGATGGGAGGGTGCCCTCTGGGCGAGAAGTGCTCTGGGGAGTGCTGTAGGAGGGGACACCAAGGACGGGCCTCTGTGACCCTTGTCCTTCTCCTCAGGCCTATCTGCCTTCCCTGCACGGTGGGGGCCAATCTGGCTCTGCGGAGACTTCCAGGCAGCACCTGCAGAGACCACGGTGAGTGCTGGGCTTAGGGTGCATGAAGAACTGGGATCAGGGCTTGGGGGTTGATGACATGGGCTGTGCTGCAGTTCCCAAGTCGGGAGTCTGGACGCTGGGTAAAGGGACCAGTACTGACATCCTTTTCCTTGACTGTAGAGAGTGAACTTCTGAACAAATTGAGCATTCCTGCTCATTTTGTGGCTTTGAATGGGAACAAGCTGAACGTTAACCTCAAGACAGGGTCAGAGGTGAGGGTCTCGGGTCCAGTATGCTGTGGGGGGATGGGATCCCCCTGTGGCAACTTCCAGAACGTCTCTCTTCATCCCCTAGCTCTGAGCGCTTTCTCCATCTGACTCCAAGTCGCCCCTCCTCCAGGCCTAGCTGCACTTCCAGGTGTCCCCCGGGCCTGCCTGCTCACTCCATCCTTCTGTCCTATTCCACCCCTACTGCAGTGGGCAAACTGTGTCAAGGTCGTCTCCCAAGACAAAACCACGTTCCCCAACTTGACAGATGTCAGAGAGGTGGTGACAGACCAGTTCCTATGCAGTGGGATGCAGGGGGATGACAATCCCTGCAAGGGTGAGCCCCCTCCCCCCACTTCTCATCCCCAGTCCCCACCCTGGAGTCTGGATTCCTGAGGGGAAGGCCACCTGTGTCCCTCTGGCCAGCTCGCATGCCAGGACACCGGTGCACCACCCTGATGCGGCGATGAGAGTCAGGATGACAGTCTCTTGTCCCTCCTTTCTGGCAGGAGAATCTGGGGGAGCAGTTTTCCTTGAGCGGAGGTTCAGGTTTTTTCAGGTGAGGAGAGAGGGGGGAAGCTCGCAGGACTGGAGTTACAGGATCTTGGCCTTGCGGAGGCACGAGGCAGGCCTTCGAAGGAACTAAGGAGGTTGGGGCTTGGGGCTGGGACCGGGGCAGCGTCCCCACCCCAACCTCTCCTTCTTTCAGGTGGGCCTGGTGAGCTGGGGTCTCTACAACCCCTGTGGCAGCTCTGATAAGAACTCCCGCAAAAGTGCGCCCCGTGGCAGGGTGCCACCGCCACGAGATTTCCACATCAATCTCTTCCACATGCAGCCCTGGCTGAGACAGCACCTGGAGGGCGTCCTGAACTTTTTGCCCCTCTGATCACAGCCACTGAGCCCTTTGCTGTCCCACCAGGACCAGCCATCTCTCCCGTCTCCTACCACCGAACGTCCACCCTCAGCCTCCATGACCCATCCGCACGCCTTGCTCTGAGCGCATGCCTGCTTCCAGGATCCCGAAGCAGCGGCACATCCACGCTGGGGAAGCCCTGGCGCTCCTGCCAGTGCGGACCCCACCCTCTGCTTTACTTGCCTCACTCTCCTTCCACTTTCACAGGGAATTACCTGGCTATGAAATTAATAAAAATCAATGATTTCCACATCTGTCTGTGCCTCTGCCTGGGGGCTGGCCTGGGGGGAGAGAGAGGCCAGAATGATTCCAGGAACGGCAAGAAGGCAGGTCAGAGACCCTGCTGGACAAACAATGGCTGGACTCTGCTCCATAACAGAGTCAACAGGGGAGCCAGTGAGGGCCTTATATCTAGTCCCCAAGGGGGAGGTCTGGGCTTGTTGGGGAGGAACTGGAGCTGAGAGGAGGTGCTGACAGGCAGAGTCCTGGACCTTGGGCAGCAAAAGGTGGGGTTTTGCAGTTTCCATTTCCTTGATTGGCAGTGGGGCCCTCCCACTCGGACATTCCGGAAAGTGACATGGGTAGGGTGGGTGGAGCGGGCAGCAGGTGCGAGAACACAGATTGCGTAAAAGGCTGGAGGCTGTGAGGGGCAGGGGAAGGACGTGTGACCAGGCTCAGGTCTGGAGTTTCAGCTTGGCCATCGAGCCAAGCAGACACGCAGCAGGAGCCAGGAGAGGCCACCCTGCCACCAGCCCCAGTTTCTCTCCTGTCTTCTGTCACCATGGGGAGCAAACGCAGCCCCCAACTCTGCCTGGTACCCTTGATCCTGGGCCTCTTGTCTGGAGGTAAGTGAGGTCACAGCCCCCCTCCCCCCCACCCCTGCTGCCCCCAGGATCTTTCCTTGGCCTTGTGAGGCTGGGCTTCACCAGCCTTTCTCTTTAGGTGTGAGCATGACGCCATTGCCTGAGGCTGGGCCCCAGAGCCCCTGCTCTCTGGAGGGAGTAGAGATCAAAGGTGGCTCCTTCCGGCTTCTCAAGGCGGGCCAGTCACTGGAGTACTTGTGTCCTTCTGGCTTCTACCCATACCCTGTGCAGATTCGTACCTGCAGATCCACGGGATCCTGGAGCACCCTGCAGACCCAAGACAAAAAGATTGTCAAGAGGGCCGAATGCAAAGGTTGGAGGGCAGTGAGGATGGGCCTGGGCCAGCGGAGGGACGGAGCAGGTGGTGGCCAAGGTCCAGACCTGGATAAGATTAGACTTGTGTGGAGACCAGGCAGGCTGACAAGTTGGGCTGAGCAAGGGTAGGAGCTGAGCAAGGGCTGGAGGTGGGATGGAGGGAGAATGAAGGGGAGCTAACCTTTACTAAGCATTTACCCCGTGTCAGGCAGCCCTGGCAGTTCAAAGAACACTCAGAAATGGGGAGGGGGGAGTGGCAGGATTCCCCAGGGGTTGAGGTACCCTCCAGGGGTCAAGGGTAGCAGCTGATCCTGTAGGACTGAGAAGGTGCTGTTTCTCAGTGACAGGGTCCCTGAGACTAGGAGGGATATCTTAAAGGGCAGTCCTTCCATCTCAGTAACGTCTACTTGTTCTCCTCCCCCAAAGCAATTCGCTGTCCCAGACCGCAGGACTTTGAGAACGGGGAGTACTGGCCCCGGGCCCCCTACTACAATTTGAGTGATGAGATCTCTTTCCACTGCTATGATGGTTACAATCTCCGGGGCTCTGCCAATCGCACCTGCCAGGCGACGGGTCGGTGGGACGGGGAAACGGCCATCTGTGACGATGGAGGTGAGAAGCGCCCCCCTTTCCCACGACACGACCTTCTTCCCGACCACCCTCAGCCTGAGGAACTGGCACCGTAGCTCTTGTGCTCTACCTTGCCCTCAGGCTTTGGCCCTTACCTCCATGTCTCATGCTTCTGCAGCGGGGTACTGCCTGAACCCGGGCATCCCCATTGGCACAAGGAAGGTGGGCAGCCAGTACCGCCTTGAAGACACTGTCACCTACTACTGCAGCCGGGGGCTCACCCTACGTGGCTCCAAGCAGCGAACATGTCAGGAAGGTGGCTCTTGGAGTGGAACGGAGCCTTCTTGCCAAGGTGACCCTTGATCCGTACCCTCACGTCAGATCCTGCTCTCCCATCCTCACATTCCCACACCAGAGCACTGCCTTCTCCCCCTACTGCAACCCAGCTCCTTCCTCACTTCTAAACCTCCCCGAAGAACTTCTGAGCCCTTCCCACCCTGGAAACCCACCATCTCTCGTCACTATGTCCCTGACCCTCCCAGACATTTGACCTGCTTTCTGACTTCTCCCAGACTCCTTTATGTACGATACTCCTGCAGAGGTGGCCGAAGCCTTCCTGTCTTCCCTGACAGAGACCATAGAAGGAGTTGATGCTGAGGATGGGCACAGCCCAGGTTTGAAGATAGAGAGGGGAGGCAGGGCAGGGAATTGGGGGTGGGAGGAGGATGGAGAAGGGGCAGGAGAACCATGCCTCCTGGAGCCTGAGTGTCTCTCTTGGCACCCAGGGGAACAACAGAAGAGGAAGATTATCCTGGACCCCTCGGGCTCCATGAACATCTACCTGGTGCTGGATGGATCAGACAGCATTGGGTCCCACAACTTCACAGGGGCCAAGAGGTGTCTCAGCAACTTCATTGAGAAGGTGGGGCCCCCTCCCCCTGAATGTGGGGACCCTGAATGGACCTCACTGCCCTGCCAGGACTAGCTCCCTGATGCTCCCAGCCCCTCTGAGCCACAGGGTCCCAGAAAATCTCCAGGTCCTATTCTGTCTTCCTTTCCTTTTACTGGAAGCAGTTTCTTGATCTTTAACCCAGACTCCTCCATGAACCCCAGGGTGATGAGTCTCTTACGATGTCCTTCACTGTCTGTCCCAGTAAAGCTGCTGAATTCTCCCAGCCATATATTCTACTTTCAGTGCCATGACCCCTTGCTCCCCTCACCCACAGGTGGCAAGTTATGGGGTGAGGCCAAAATATGGTCTAGTGACATATGCCACAGACCCCAAAGTTTTGATCAGAGTGTCTGACCCAAAGAGCAGCGATGCAGACTGGGTCACAGAGCAGCTCAACCAAATCAACTACGAAGGTCAGAAGTCAGGGAAGGGAATGGTGGGAGGTTCGCTTTGGGGTCAGAGAGGTCCGAAGTTTCAGGAGTGTTGTGGGGAGGGCAGTGAGACAAGGAGGACTACTTTTTAATCCATGGATGGGCAGCAGGGTCATTGGAAAATGGGGGTTTTTGGTGGGAACGCTTTGGAACTGAGATGGTCACTTTGTTGTCAAAGGGAAGTCACTGGGGTGACAATTAACTCAAAAAGTTGACAGATGTGGATCTCAGTTGCTGCTAGGCCTCTGGGGTCAAGGATGGCTTGGAAGTCCAGGTGGAGGTGATGATTTCTTCCCTTTCCACAGACCACAAGTTGAGGGCAGGGACTAACACCAAGAAGGCTCTCCTGGAAGTATACAACATGATGAGCAGGGAAGTGAACAAACTCCCTGAAGCCTGGAACCGCACCCGCCACGTCATCCTCCTCATGACTGATGGTCAGAGGGACTGTTCCCCTGCCTCTGACTCCCCACCCTCTCCAACCAGCGTGTGGCCCTGAAGTCCACGTGTAGCGCTGGGCTCACGGTTGGGGGCCTGAATGCTGCCCTTTCCTGTGAACCTTTATGAGGAGGGACCTTTCTCGCCACCATCTCTCACGTCCATCTCCCCCCCAACCTGCTCACTCCGCTGTATATGTCACTCCTTCTGGCCAGTTTATCTTCCTTGACCCTCTTCCTTCCTTGTCTCCCACCTTCATGGTCCTGGTCTCTCCTGCAGGCTTGCACAACATGGGTGGGGATCCAGTCTCTGTCATTCACGATATCCGGGACTTGCTGGACATTGGTAGAAATCGCAAAAAGCCCAGGGAGGATTATCTGGGTGAGTTTTATTGCCTAGGACTCAGCACCCCACTTTCTTAGCTCCTGCCCCCCAGGGCCTGGACCCTCACTCTCCCTTTTTCTCTCCCAGACATCTATGTGTTTGGGGTTGGGCCTCTGGTGGACCAAGACAGCATCAATGCTTTGGCTTCCAAGAAGGATAAGGAGCAACACGTGTTCAAACTCAAGGACATAGATAACCTGGAGGATGTTTTCATACAAATGCTTGGTAGGAAGATATCAGAAGGGGATAAGGAGATGGTCAGGAAACTCAGCTCTCCCCAGACCCCTCAAGGTCACTCGTTCTTCCACCCCTCCTGAAGCCCTGGCAGTCTGCAAGTTCTTTCTCATTCCTCCTTGTCTACCTCCGTGTCATTATTCTTGCTTCCTGGTACTGCCCACTCCCTGATCTTAGAATCACAGAGTTCTGAATGATGCAGAGATCTTTCCTAAGTCCCTCGTTTTACAGATGTGGGAACTGGGGCCAAGAGAGGTCAAGGAACGACAAGTTAGCAAGAGCTGGGCCTGAAAACATCCAGCTCTCTGATCTTTGTTCCCCGTTCTTTTCACGATACCACAGTGGTTCCCTGCCCTCAATGTAAGGAAACAAGTGCCCCTGCCTTCCCTTTCCTCCTATGGCATCTGGTCCCCATAGACATGTAGGCGTCCCTCCCCGAAAGGCTGCTGCCATTCGGAAATGAAGTGTCCCGGCTTTCAGTACAATCTCCTTTCTTGCCAGATGAAACCCGGACTCTGGGTCTTTGCGGCATGGTTTGGGAGCACAAGAAAGGTACTGACTATCACAAGCAACCATGGCAGGCCAAGATCTCAGTCACTGTGAGTGCAGTGTCCTGGCAGCGGGGACTTATGGGAGGGCAGGGCAGGGTGAAACGAAGGTCGGGGGAAGGGCAAAGTGTTCATAGATGGTGTTGTCTGTGAAAGCCAAGCTTTCCCTCTGCCGCTCTCTTCCCAGCGTCCTTTGAAGGGACACGAGAGCTGTATGGGTGCTGTGGTGTCTGAGTACTTTGTGCTGACAGCGGCTCACTGTTTCACTGTGGATGACGAGAAACACTCAGTCAAGGTCAGCGTGGGTAAGGACGCAACCAATCAATCCGGAGCTTCAGCCACGCCCTCTGGGCAGAACCTCCCCCTCTCTTCAAGAGGCCACACTCCACCTGACCTCAACGCAGCCCCTTCCCTTGCACGCTGGACCACTTAGGGATGAGGAAGACTTGAGTTAGGGATGACATGGGGGCAGGAGACTGCCTACAGAGTAGTGGGTGGTCTAGAGGTACCCACTCTCCTACTTCAGGAGGGACGAAGCAGGAGTGCGAGATAGAAGAAGTCCTATTTCACCCAAACTACGACCTCAATGCGAAAAAAGCAGAAGGTATTCCTGAATTTTATGACTATGACGTGGCCCTCATCAAGCTCAAGAAGAAGCTCAAGTACAGTGAGACCATCAGGTGAGCCATCTGGATTCCCAAAGAGAAAAGGCTGCGAAAGGCAGGGCTGGAAGACTGGGGCAGGTCCAGGGTTCACCATCCCCAAATTTTCCCATCTCTCCTCAATAGGCCCATTTGTCTCCCCTGCACTGAGGGATCGAATCAAGCTTTGAGGCTTCCACATTCAACCACGTGCCAGCAACAGAGTAAGACAGTATCAGGGAGAGTAGCGTAAGGGTGAGGTTCTGAGAGACAAGGGAGGCATGAGAGGGAGCTGCAGGAAGGGCAGGTGATGCCCAGCCGTCTCTAGCTCACAGGAAGGGGTGGAAGAACATTTGCTGAGTGACAAAGACAAAGGACAAGGACAATGGGGGAAGGGAGAGTGCTGAAATGACCCAGTCTGTCTATTCGTCCAGTGCAAGAGCTGCTCCCGGCAAAGGATATCAAAGCTCTGTTTGTGTCCGAGCTGTCTAAGGATCATAAGAAGACACTGATTCGGAAGGAGGTCTACATCAAGAATGGGGAAAAGGTGAGGAATGTGGGATCCTGAGGTCCTTTAAGCCCCAATTCTTCCTAAGCAAGCTTTGTTCATCACTCCTCTCCTGCGTGCATCCCCACCTCACCTACAGAAAACTGGCTGTGAGAGGGATGCTCTACGTGCCATAGGCTATGACAAAGTCAAGGACGTCTCTGAAGTAGTCACCCCCAGGTTCCTTTGCACCGGAGGGGTGGCTCCCTATGCTGACCCCAACACTTGCAAAGGTGAGAGAAGGCTCTTTGGTTGTGCTCTAAGTTCCTGAGGCCCAAGAGTCTTTTCCCCTACAGCTTCTCCCTCCCTGTAGGTGATTCTGGTGGTCCCCTGTTTATTCACAAGAAGAGTCGCTTCATTCAAGTGAGTTTCCCCTTTCCTCTCTGTGGGGAGATGCCAAGTAGTCAGCATGGCCCCCAAAGCAGGAAAGCTCACTGCCTGTGGCTGGAAAGGGGAGGGTGGAGCCTGCCTCACCTTTGGACTCTTCCTTGAACTGGCCAACTTAGGGGTGTGTGTCTGATCTGTGTGCCAGGGGATAGGACTGAGCTGGGCCCCTAGTCTAACCCTCCCAGGTCAGCTCAGATGCAGCTGGGAGTAGCTGCGCTCCCTGGGATTAGGAAGGAATTCTACCAAATGGTTCCTGGGACGCCCTCGCCCTCTTCAGGTTGGTGTGATCAGCTGGGGCGTTGTGGACGTCTGCAAGGGGCAGCAACAGGTACCTGCTTACGCCCGAGACTTTCACATCAACCTCTACCAAGTGCTGCCCTGGCTCAAGGAAAAACTCCAAGATGAGGATCTGGGTTTTCTATAAGGGGTTTCCTGTTGGAAACGGGCATGAGATCAAATTAAAACAACTACGACAACACCTGTGTTCAAGATCCTTTTGGGGTAAAGGAGTGGGGAGCGTGCACTGACCATGTTGTTACAACTGAGATCGAATCTAACAGCCGTTTTTAAAGCCTCAACCCCAATCCCAAGTGCTGAAAAACCAGAGGCTGAGGGAGGTGTGTGAGCTTCCACCTCAGTGTTTTACTGAGACCAGCGCTGGGCCAGATGAGGCACACGGAATCCAGTTCCACTCCCTAGAAGCCGTCCACAAGGTTTTCCTTATAGACGTCATCACTGTAGACAATCTGGGTCCTCTTGTCCCGGTGGCAACCCTTAGGGCTATTCTGGACAGCTAGGGAGGGAGGAGAGTATTCATTAAGGTCTGAAGGAGGGCACTGATGAGACCTGAGGCCCAGAGTTTGACCGCCTCAACTCTAGCCTCTGGCCCTTGGATGCCCAGTTTCCATGCTGCCCTCTGGTGGCCGGGATGGCCTTTCCATTAATACCTTTAGCCCCCTTAGGCCAGCGGCTACCAACCCGTGGCCCCAGCAAAAGAGTGTACACTGTTATCATGGCACATGCAAATACCGTAATGAGTGTTTTGTTCTTAGAAAAACGCCAAATGTTATCGTTGAGACGTGTGAATAATGTTAGCCCACAACTTTCAGTCAGTACACGAAAAATTAAAAAATCTCTATAGTCCTTTGTTGACGTGCTGGTCCTTTTTGGTTCCTGCTTGTACAGAGGACCACTCTTGCTCTGAACTCCCTTGTGCCCACTCCTTTACGTGAAAATCTATTTCAGGTAAAACGGGTTACTCACTCCATCAGGAGAACTCATTCTGGGTGTAGCTTTGGCCCTCGAGCCGTCCCTTCCCCTTCCTCTTTCCTCCCTACCCCCAGTGTGTCCCCTCTCTTCACCCCACCTCCAAGGATTCCACCCCTGCCACTCTGGGGCTACAGTGAACCCCCCATACAAGCCCCCATTCTCTCGGAGCTTTGTATCTTGACTCCGCTGATCACTTCCTCTTTCTCAAAGCTTGTACCCTTTGGCTGCAATGACCCTGGCCCCTCGGGTGCTGCTCCAGGCCCCATGACCTCTCCTTCTGTCTCCTTTGCAGCATCCTCAACTTCAGCCTAACAAGTCAGGATGGCTGGGGACGTGTGGGGCATGAGGAACACAGCCCAGCTTCCCACCATATCCCCTGACTATTCCTCAAGCCCAGTCCCGGTTCATCTTCTCTTGAAATTCAGTCTCCCCTGCCAACGCTATCGTTCTGCAGCTACCCCGTGATACAGATGGCTCTAGTCTACATTTTCATGCCTCACCTCACACCTGAGTTCCAGATCCCTAATTTCAAAGGCTTATTTTATAACACCAACTATACTGCAACTCAAAATGAATAAGGCTGCATGAGATGCTCACCTTCTTCACCAACCTCAGTCACTTCCACTTTTTCCCCGTTCCAGTCAGTGCCTTGGAAATTGTTTTCCATACTTTTCTCTCCTTCTACTTCTAACTGACAGAAGGCCTGACGATTCTCCTTCCAATCCCCACAGCTGCCACACAAATCCAGACCTCTATCACCTCTACAGAACCCAGGGACATGCCGGGGAACAAAAAGGGGTGAGCTGTAGGGGACAGAATGAGAGAGGAAGAATCCCATTCTTACCCAGGGAGCCCCAGACAGACTTGCCAGTGGCAGCGTCCAGCATGGGCTGTTTTCGGGCAATGCTGACTTTGAGCTGTACGGACTCCACTTGGGTCCCGTTGAGCTGGGGCAGAAGAGGGGAGGGGGCAGAGGATGGGGGGAAACATTATAGACAAACCAAAGGAGAATTTCCAGGAGTTACCATCCTAGGAACAGACTAAGTAGGGACTTGAGAATGCAAGGTTTCCTGCGTAAACAGGGAGAGACCGTCTCTGTCAAGAGGAAATGACTTCCTCCTGGCTCCCAGTATTTTAGAAAGAAAATATAAGGATGGCAGGAGGGATGGGAAGAACAGATCTGGGAAGTCCCAACCTCAGCAACGGCCTGATCTGCTGACTCCATCTTTTCATAGGTGACGAAGGCACAGCTGGGATGAGAAAACACAGGGTCAGTAGAGGGCCTATGGGCTCCTCGGGACCCAATCAAACCCAGTGTTACAGGCTGTGGAGACAGGCTAGCTTCCTCCCTCAGGTCTCATACCCCAGGTCCTCCAAGGACTATCATCCTGCCCCGCTGTCATCCTTACTTTCTGGGTGGGTCCATGGAGAGGTCAATGATGTTTCCAAAGGGAGAGAAGGCCCCACGGAGGAGGGTGGGCGTCATGTCTTCTCCATACACATAGAGAGTGTTCCCCTTCCGAGGGGCCCGGCGTTCAGGGAACGAGTCCGACCCTACAGGACAGAAATCAGTAACGAGACATAGTCTAGCTCACCCTTCACTTTAAGAGTCCACTTTAGTAGGACCCACCTAAACCTTATCTGAAGTCACTTTCCCACCAGCCAAGATCACTCACTGCGGAAAGGGCCCTCTCGGTCCCGGTCCCGGTCCCGGTCTCGGTCCCGGTCCCGGTCTCGATCGCGGTCTCTGTCTCGCTCGCGGTCCCGCTCTCGGTCTCGATCCCGTTCCCGGTCTCGGTCCCGGTTCCGCTCGCGGCTGCGGTCCCGGCTGCGGCTTCGGGGAGGGGAGCCTGAGGAGCGGGCACTACCACGTTCTTCATAGCCCCAGTCGAAGCTTCGAGCGGGGGCATCACCAGCCCCCGGGCGCTCCGCCTCTTCTCCATCTGGCCCCAGTTCCCGAAGCCGATCGCTGGAAGACACAAAGCTGGGGAGAGGTAGACAGGGAGGATCAAAGGGGGCCTCTGCCTCGCCTTCCCAGAGCCTGGGGAGACTCAGCAATCCCTCTGTAGCCCCAGCTCCGCCCACTCCAGTCCCAAGCCTCCTAAGGACCCAGGCAATCCCCCCGGCCCCACCGCCCGCCAGTGGGACCCAGTCCTATCTTTCTCTAACCTCTCATACAGAGATTTCCTCTGTGGACGTCTAGACGACTGAAAAGGAAACCAAGGACAGTTAAGATGAGTCCTAGCTGCCGGCATGTGGTCCCAAATATGTGGGTCGCTCATTTTTCTCAATCCCCCAGAAGCCGCTCAGAGACAGACAACTGGAAACCATTACCTCCTGCAGGTCATCGTCGGCAGATATGCTCCTCTGGAACGGCTGGAAAGTGGGGACTGGCCCCTTCTCAGGGTCCTGGGAAGACGGCAGAGACCCACCTCAGTGGGGAGCAGGAGGCTGCCTAACCACGGGGCAGAAGGAGGTCCTCTTCCCTCACCCTCTTCTCGGCTCCCTTGGCCTATCTTTTCTTTCCTTTTACATAAAAGATTTAATACACACTTAAAGCAGTTAGTTTACTTAAAAATGTCTTAAGCCTGATGACATTCTCAGCCTGCTCAACTCCTCTGAGCACCACAATCCAGGAGCTCTACCACAGGATGCATTAGAGTCACAGAATGCGTAAACGGAGGAGAATCTAGGAGTCATCCAGTTTCTTCACTTTACAGATAAGAAACCTGAAGCTCAGGATGGTGTAGCAACTTGCCCATGATTAAACTGGCGTTACCTTCCCCCTAAACTTACCTCCATTCCAACTTGGAAGGATGCCCTCTGAAGTCAAGGAGTCCCTGAACAATCTTTCTGCCTGTGCTCACCTTTAACTTCCCCTCTAGGGTCCGGGAACGTTTGAAGCCTGAGTTCTTGGTCTCAGCCTTGATGGCACTGATGGCTCCTGACTTCACCAGCTGCTTCGCCTGCTCTGTTGCCGTGGCTGTGTCCACCACAGGCTGCTCTGACAGTGCTGGAGTGGCGAGGGAAAGAGGCATTATGTTGGTCAGGCTGTGACACAGGTCAGCCCGTGCTGCTCACTTCCAGTCTATCCCCGCCTCCCTTGTCACTCACAGCGTTTGACGCCGCCTTGGCTGGCTGTGCTGCTGCTGCTTTGCTTCTTCAGAGCCAGCAATGCCTTTTTCTGGGAACAAGAGTGAGAAGAGAGGAGTTGGTGAGGGCCAATCCCTGGCCAGGTCCTCTCCCAAGGCCCCTGGGCGCATCACTCCGGGGACACCGTGCTGAGAGAAAACAATGCAAACGGTGCCCCTGGAGTGGCACATTGAGGCTGCCCTGCCTCTGACATAGTCCCCCAGATCATCTACAAAGCCAGCCATACCTCATCTATTCAAACCATGGCCTCCAGAGGCTTTCCAGTCTCATGTTTTTCAAGTTGAAAACAAGGCATTCAATCATAGACCAGAGCCCCCGGATATAAGCTGCAATGAAATATAAGCCTCCGTGCCTTCTTAGGGACTTCATCCATCCACCCCTACGTGTTTAATAAGAACACACAATTGCTCTGAAACACGGATATGCAAAAGCATGAGACACAGATCCTCCCCTCAAGAAGCTTACAGTCTGAGAAATTAGATGACGACTAGGTTGAATTTTCAAGACTGATCGTAAGTGCAGATTGTAGCTGAGAGCAAGTAAGATTTTTCTGATGCCAAATGGTTATTAGACTGGGTCCTGGATACAATCTGCATAACACAGACTGAGAGGAAAGGGCATTTCAGACAAAGAAAACAGGGTGGCAAAGATGCAGAGATAAGAAAGCTTTGGGAAGGCATGTTTTGGGATCAAGGAATAGTTCTACAGAAAGAGATGCCTGATTAAGGCTTTGTTTTATAGACAATGTGAAACCACTGAGTTTTGAGAAAAAGAAGGGCGGTGTTTTGTGTTTTCAATGCACCATTTTAATAGGAGTGAAGAAGTCTGTCCAAAAAAAGAAACTTGTTGAGAGACCATTGCGACAGGCTAGGTGAGCATCAGCAAAGACCTGATCTAGGGAATACACAGGAAAAAGTAAACGGAAGCAATTACTTCAAGGGAAGAATCAAGACGACTTGGCAAATGTCTGGCTATGCAAATTGAGCAGAAGACAGAGATAAGACTTTCATCCCAAACACATGGGAGAA